AGAGCCCGAACGACTCACACCAGAAGGAGGGGCCCGAACGACTCACACCAGGACGAGGCGCCCGAACGACTCACACCACGAGGAGCCCGAACGACTCACACCACGACGAGGGCCCCGAACGACTCACACCACGAGGAGCCCGAACGACTCACACCGAGGACGCCCGAACGACTCACACCACGAGAAGCCCGAACGACTCACACCAGGACGAAGAGCCCGAACGACTCACACCACGAAGAGCCCGAACGACTCACACCAGGAAGAAGGGCCCGAACGACTCACACCAGGACGAGAAACCCCAAACGACTCAAACCACGAGGAGCGCTTTCTCTCCCTCCTCCTCCGCCTCGTCCTTCTCCCGCTCCCACCACAAGGAGGATGTACAAGGAGGCGGGAGGAAGGAGGAACAGGGGAGATATGCGGGGGCAGGCGGAAACACGCCTGAAAAACACGACTGTCGGCATGCTTCGCAAGAGTTGCTGTTTTGAGATGGGCTGGTGGGGATACGCGAAACGTAAAGAATTGTGTCTGTGTGTTTTTTCCTCTCCTGAACCAGAGGCCCGGGGTCCTCCTCTCATCGCTCTCCCCGTTCCCGGGGGTGAGAGGTGCGAGGCGGAGATCTATTCGTAGCCACCGCCGGAGGGAGCTCTATGCGGGAACATCGGCATGGGCTTGGATATGGCCATATCCAACACCTGCCGAGGTCTCCGAAGACATGGACAAATCTCTGCCTCCCATGAGCATTGGATACTGGAATTTCCAATCGCGACCGACGAGATCACGACACCGATTTTGCTTCAAACTCCAGGATCGGTTGCAACCGATTCTGGAATCCGCCGCGATCGGTCGCAACCGATTTGGAGTGCCGATCGGTCGCTGCCGATCGCGACCGACAAAAACCTGGTACCCCATGACCCGGGCCGGAAGAGGGACAAGCGGGGTGGACCTGTGCGGTCGTCCTCGCCCGAGGCCCCTCGGCATCCTTTTGGAAGGCGGAGGCACAGCGGGCGCCGCAGGGGGCGCAGGGCCCCCGGCGCAAAGGCGCGTGGGGGGGCCGCAAATTCTTCCTACAGCCGGGCGCGCGGGAGGGCGCCGCGGGGGGTGATAACATCCGCCGCCCCCGCCGCGCCGCGGCAGGGGGAGGGGCCGTCCAGGCTTCGGCCGCGAGGTTGTAGCAGCGGAGCGCCCGCCATCGATCGGACGTCCCTGCCCCGGGCATGCTGCGGCTTCGTGCGCGCATGTGATGGCACGATGGCCCAAAAAGCTCCTCGATGGTCCTCGCCGAGAGCAGCTGCACACGACCGAACGATGCCAAGGGCGGGACCGTCATGGGCCACCTGACCGCCCTGCGCCGTGCCAGGCGCGAACAGCATCTCTCTCTATCTGTGCGCCCCGGCGAGTGACCTTCTGCCCCCGCCCGCGGGCGACTGGCGCAGGAAACGCTGCAGGAAGGCAGCCCATGTGGGGCGCTGCGATCTCTGGGCAAATGCTGGAACGATTGGGACGGATCGTCATTGTGAACCCATGCTCCTCTGCCCTGGACGGCTGCAAGAAGATGGGGTCAGAGTATACAAGAGTCGGAGGACAGAACCACACTCCGAGTCGTCGGCGATGCGCGGGCGCCGTTGACGATGCATCGGCGATGGGTCGGCGCAATCCTCCGAGACCACTGCTCGGACCCCACTCGGGAGGTCTGGAACTCTGCTTCCTGTCGGGTGTTGCCTCTGCTGGCAGCGCGCAAGAGCGGGTGGAATAGGGTAGCATGAGGCCCGACCTCCGGCTTGACCGATTTCCCAAGATCGGCGCTCGGAACGAATTGGCCAGGGTGGAGATTGTGAGAACCGTTGGCGATAAGAACAGGCACGTCTCAGTCGGCGGCCAAGGGTCCTGGGCTTCCCCTGGGCTAAGGCGATAACTCACTCCTTAGCGCAAGCACTGCTTTGGGAATAAGGAGCACGGAGCAGAGCGCAACGTGCAGAAAACATAAGCCAGGGAGCATCGGTCAGAGAGCTAAAATTGGAGATGCGAGAGTAGAGGCTGGAGGCGAGGGCGAATATAGATGCCTCCCAGATGAGCTCCGAGTAGATGGGGTCGGAGGAGCGCGCGGCATCGCCAGCGCTTCGGTGACGCTCGATGCATCGGCAACCACGGCGTGGAGAAAATGTTTCCACATCGAGCCGCATCGTCGATGCATCGGCAATGCGGCGCGATCCTCCGACCACAGCTACTCGGACCCCATGTTGGGGCGGCGGCTAGAACCATATCAAATGTAGAGCGGAGGCGCAGAGTAGAGAGAAACACCGTAGGGAGTAGATCAAGTAGATAACCACGTTCGTCTTCTTACGCCGCCGTCCGACACCGGCGCGCTGTCCGGCACTTCGTGCACGAGAAACTGATTGGGGACCTCCCTGGTGTAACTCGTTTCATCGCGACGTCTCTTCTCAATTTCGGCTTCCAAATTGGCTGTGCGAAAGAGTGACCCTAGGCAAGGAATGACCGTTGGTGTGCGGCATTGCGGGGCCAGGGGGCCAACACCAAAAGTCACTCTGGAGGAAGGTCACTCTTACGTGTAGCCGGCCGAAACAAGACAGACCGAAATCGAATCGACAAGATGCATCAACTATTGGTATGCTCGGATCGGCTGCCATCGGCAGCCAAGTCGGAAGAAGTCGAAGCGGCTGAACTCGGCAGGCTAGTAAAGACCCCCCTGAGAACTCGACATCCAAATCAGAATCCGGTGTCGAATCGGAATCGAAATCCATCGACATCGACTCGAACATCGAGCTGGACGAGTCGAAATGAGCCCTGCCAAAGCCCCCGTGTTCGGACAAGGATAACCAAGTGCAGATCCCAGACAAACCACCTGCCCTCTGGGGAGGGCTCGAGACGGCTGGGGCCCGGGGACCGAGCAACAAAAACATACGTCGAACGTCTTAGGGGGGCGGCCCCGTCTGACTACGCTGCACCGAAGGCGGGCGGGCTTCTCAGACGGGGGGGGCCTTCTTGACAAGGCGCCCCCCCCCCCGCCCTGCTCCCCTTGCTATGTGCCGACGGCTCCTGCGAAACTGCAGCCGGGGCACCCCGGGAGGCCCACGGCGCTTGCTCTTCTGGGGTGGTTCAAGCCCCTGGTGCGTCCAAGAGGGGGGCGTCCAAGATGGAGTGTCGTAAATTGTGGCCCCACGCGAGTGCGCGGCCCAGGGACAAGAGGCGCCATGAAATCTGAAGAGATAGCATGGCCCTGGCCATGATATCCCCCCCTCGCCATCACTCCCCTCTTGGCCGCCCCTTAAAGCCCCTCGTTCCTGCAAGCTGTTTTGCCCGGGGAGACATGGCCCGAACCGATGCCCGAGCAGCGCGCTCCTTGGGCCATCCAGTCCTCCCCTCCGGAGCTCATGCTGAGCCAATCGAACCAAAGGCGGCCAACATCGGGAAGGTCGCCGCCCCGCCTGCTGACGATCATCGGGGAGGAGGAGGGGGGGGCGCGAGGGGGAAGCTGGAGGGAGAAAAGTAGTAGGAGGGAGAGAAGTAGAAGCAGCAGGAGGAAGAGGAGGCGGGGCAGGAGGAGGAGGAGGAGGGGGAGGGGGACTGGTGCAAACCCAAGGCTGATCAACGATGTTGCAAATTGCTCCGGGTAACAATCTCCAGAAGATAATTAGTTTCGGGGGTCTGGCGGGGATACTCAAGGATTTCCCCGGCGAAGGTGATGATGATGGAGAAGGTGATGGAGAAGAAGAAGAAGATGATGATGATGATGATGATGCTGGTGATGATGATGATGATGACCCTGGGCGCTCGTATGAACTGACCTTGTAGATCTTGGCACAAGACTTACTCGAGAGATCTCGAGTCTCGTGGCTACAACTTGTCTGCGCAAGAGAGGTCCTTGGCGATCCTGGCCAAGAAACCTCCCTTGCGCACGACCTCGAACCACTCGCCCATGCAGGCTCGGCACCCTTTGGAGCCGTCCTTGCACGGGAGGCACTTGGTGCAGGCCTGGGCGGCAGCGCTTGCCTCCTCGATAGCAACTTCGATTCGCAACTTCCCCCGGGGTTTATCAACTTCGGCCTCCGCGCCCCTCTCAACATTCAAATCCTATTGGCCGGGATTAAACATATACGAGGGGGAAGGGGGGGAAGATTTATTCTCGGGGCAGTGGGTTAACCATCCCTGGGAGGATCCAGGATAGCGGAGGTCATCAGGCAACCATGGGCGTCCTGGGTGGTTCTGAAGATGGCGGGGAAGGTATGGTCCCGCTCGCCCCGCTCGCCCCAGGAGGCGATCCCCCCCTTTGGTGGTGACACCCTTTGGCACTGCCCGGGGAGCCCAACCGCTGCCCATGGTTGCTTGATAATCGACCCATAACCAACAAAAACAGATCACTGCCCATGTGGTACACACATTGGCAAATCTCTGTCGCTATACGGCTAATAAAATAAATAGCTGCGTCTACATCGCAGAGCTGGGGGAGGACTGGGAAGTGACATGCCATCCTGGCGTATTGATCCGGGGCCAAAGATCGCGAAACAAGCCCACCCGCAGCACCAAGGCGGCCATGTGCGGCAGCACATCTGGATCTATCTTGAGTTATGATGGATTGCCTGGTCACCTGGCGGGCTTCGGAAATCCTGAGCGGGGAGCGCATGTTCTACGTCCGCCAGCTCCAGCCGGCTGAGGTGGTCTCGCTCTACTTCCGCCGCGTTCCGCCGACCCTGCACAGCCTTCCGCCGAGGAACGGATGCCAGCTCCCGGGAGCCTCGAGGGCGAGGCCCTTTCTTTGGACACCCGAAATGGGTACCGAAAGAATGGGTACAATGCCCAACAACAAATGTTGTCCCGAACCAACAGCGGCCGCTGCTGGGCAGGCGGCCCCCTGTCTCGAATGGACACAGGCCGCGGCGGCGTGGACAGCGAGCCCTGTTCAAAATGAACAAGACCCGCTGTTGGGCATTGTACCCATTCTTTCAGTACCCATTTCGTGCGTGCAGACTTTCTGGAGCACGTCACCTGGAGCCGGCGTCGCCGCTGGCCAGGAGCAGGGAGAGGGCGCCAGCTGCGAGGGCGGCGAGGCCGGGCGCCGCGAGGTGCCCGGCCCCTCCCTCGTCGATCGCCATGGCCGCGAGCACGTTCAGTTCGAAGTTTGCCTCTATGTTGATCCTTGAGTCGACGATGTGCTGGCCGTCGTCGTTGCGGATCCTCGTGAGGAGGGTCCAGTAGCACTCGTCGGTGCAGTTCAGCTCACCGACGAGGGGGTCCTCGAGGCATTTGCTCGTTTGTTGTACTACTCGCGGCGATAACGAGCTGTATGGGGGGGGGGGCGGGTGGGAGGCACAACGTAACGACCCCCCCACGCCGCCGTGCGGGCCCTGCACCGCAGACTGTGGTGCCGGACACACTGCGGCAGTGCCGAGGACGCAATGGGGTGGAGGGGGGCACAACGCGCGCCAGTGGCCAAGAGGGTCGCAACAGCACTCTCCTCGACGTCCACGTTCAGGGTGTACAGGTTCGTGAGGAGCCCAACGCCCTCAGGCAGCTTGATGACCACCGTGCTGTTGCCGAAGCCGGTGCACTCGATGCCTGGCGGCGGGAAGACGAACAGGTCACTGTACCCGTTGACAGACTGCGCGGCAGTCTCTAGAGAGAACCTTCGAGTAGGGGATCGACAATACGTTTACCCAAGACTTGTGTCGTAGGATCGGCCACAACATGCGTAATGCTCATACATATGCGAAAATGAATCAGTAGTTTTTCGTAGATTCGGCAAGCATTCCTATTGTGTCAAGACATTGTGTATTCGATCCCCTACTCGAAACCTGAGGTCGAAGCCCGTGCAGTTGACTGGGAATACGTAGCCAGTCGGCCCAGTCAACACAATCTCGTTTCCAGTGTCTGCCATGTTCAGAATGGTCGTCTGTTGGAACTCGATTACAAGCGGGTTTGTGTACCCGAAGTAGGGGAAGGTTCCGTTGATAACAACATCTATATCCCCAGTGATGTCGTACGAGGGAACGTTGTTGGCCATGTCAGTGAACGCGCCAGCAGGATCGTTGATCGAGAACGTGAAGTAATTCACCTGGGGTGTAAACTCTGGGTTCGTCATGGAGATGGTGATCGTGAACGGGGCGTTAGGAAGCCTCACGTCAAGACTGTCCATGGTCAGCTCCACCAGGTTGGGCTGCAGAGGAAAGTCTGAGCAAGTCGTCGTTGCAGCCAGGCCTTCCGTCTCGAAGAGAGCAAGGGGGTCGTAGCAATCAAATATGAAACCCTCGGGCGCGAGAATTGTGATCAAGGAGCCCCCCACGATCCGCTGATTGCTCTCGAACTTGAAAGACACCTTATTGTGCTCCAGAAGAGAGGTCGTGTCAGATGGCGTAACAGAGGCCGTGACGAGCTCCTGCAGAAAAAATCCCTCGATTCCGCTTTGCAAATGCAACATTACGCCGTTTTGGCTCGTCTCCAAACGCCACTCGTTCGTCGTGTCGGTGGGATTAACCGGTGGATTAAATGTGTTGAAGCCGAAGGCATACTGTATGCCGGCTTCTGCGGTGGTGCCCAGCCTGAATAAAATGTAATACTGATCGAGCGCCTCGTCATAGTGCGCCGAAGCCTCCGTTCCAGATAGCAGCTGAGGATCCGCGAGCTCCTGCCACCAGTTCGTGTCTGTGGACCCTGGGGCAACGTAGGTGTTGGGTGCCCAGCTTACTGGCAGCCACACCCACAGATAGCTCGATGCGGTATACACGAGGGGGCTCTTCAACATGAAATATAGATTGACCTGGTTGGTGGCCGTTGGCGACATGATGGTCGGCTCGATGGTGGAAACAGAGAACTCTCCGAAGACCTTGAAGCCGTGGACGTGCAAGTGGGAACTCACGGTGTAGAATGTGTCACTATTCGCCCTGCTAAGTGCCTCGAACATCCATATGTTGTCCACAGCAAACGGCGAGATCGCGGGGTTGCTCAGGATAACATCGAACGTCATATCAGTGTTGGCAGGCATGGCCTCTTCATAAGAAGTCAACTCTACAACATTACTGTACTGCACGATATTGATGGTCTTAGTGGGCCAATCGGTCGCAACTGATACAGTAAGCCCTTGGTCTGCCGCGCCATCGATGAGTGCGTAGGCCTCCGGGTACGTGATTAGCAACCTCGCGTAAGGCTCGATTGTCTGGTCGAGCCGTATGGTAACTGTCACTACGTTCGTGGAACTGCTCACTTTGGTGTCGTAAGGCGAGATGGACAAGACGTCCACCACCCTCACCAAGGTCAAACCGGTCACGCCGACGCGCTCGTCCATGACAGTCTGGTCCACGTCGGAGTCGCGGGTTCTGAAAGTCCACGTCACGTCGTCATCCTCCGTTGGTTCATAGCGGGTGTTGTGACCCGGCACAGCGATCCGGAAGAAGCGCCCAGAGGGCAGCATCACGTCTGGCTGGAGCGTGAGTGTCAGGACGTTGCTCTGGCTCTCGCACGTGATCAGCTCGGACAGGTCCCCCGAGTTACATTTCGTTTGCCACGCTTCGCACGAGAGGGTTGCCGCGTCCAGCAAGGCCTGCTCGTCCGTTGAGATGAGGCTGCCGATGGACTCCAACGACGCCTGGTCGACGCACGGCTGGAAATCCAGCACGCAGACCCAGTCCGCTGGGCGCAACAGCGAACAGGCAACGAGCTGGCTATTGGACGGCCGCTCGTCCACCATACCCTGCGAAGGCGGAATGGACTCCAACAGGTCGTCCACATATCCCAAGATGGGGCCGAAGTAGTAATCGCCGGGCCCCACAATCTGGATGGAGCCGCCCGCGGGCACCGAGGTCACCGTCCCCAGGCTGAACGTGAAGTTCGTGTACAACGAATAGCTGGGGTTCGAGCTCGTCACGGAGCAGTCCGTGAGCTGGGGGAACAGCTCCCACGCGTCCGTGGCCCAGGCCTCCTGCCCGAACTCCGTGTCCGTCTCCGCGACGATGAAGAAGTTGTTGACGTCTGGCACGGAGGGCGGGTTGGTCACATTCTGAACGAAAAACTCGAACACCTGAATCGTCTCCAATGAACGCCCATCCAGAACGCTCTCCGCGTTGGTGAGTTTGACGGACGTCCCCTCGACATGGCACTCCATCCACTCGGGTAACGGAATCACACCGCTGATAGCAGGCTCTGCGAACTGTGAACTGATAGTCGCGAGGTCCACGTCGGGGTCCACGCAATAATACGATTGCACCCCTCCGAACGCCATACCCTCAGGCCCGGTGATGGTGACAGTCTTCTGAGGCGACAGTTCCGAGTCGAGCTGGAACAGCACGCGGATGGACGTCGCCTCGTCTCCGATCTGCGAAAGTGTGTCGACGCTGAAATACTGGAGCCGCTGGTAGACTGGGAAAGAAGGGACCACGGTGTTTTTATCCACCTCCTCTCCATTGTACTGGGTCTGGATCTGCCACCACCGGTCCGCCGTGTCTGCCGCAACGAAAGTGTAGGTGGGGTTGATAACAGTGAAGCGCACCTGGTAAGAAGTGCTGTTGACCATCTCGAACCACGAGGGAAGCGTTAAAGTCAGGTGCCGCCCCCCGTCGCCATTGCAGCTGGTCGAGGACGGCAGCGGGAACATGCCCGAAGCGGCGTTCCCAGTGTCTGGGACGAAGTCCTGGCAGACAGGGGGGAACAAGAAGCCCTCTGGAGCCTGAATCAAGATCACTGCCTGGATGCTGGTGCTAGCTGGCAGCGGGGTGGTCAGCTCGAAACTGAGTTCAACTGGATTGATGGCCGCCTCTCCGCTGATGGTGTTGGCTGGGATGTATGGCGTGAACGCGGCGTTGTACACGGCTTGGATTTTGAAACCCTCGACCCAGGGCTCGGAGGCCAAAGGGAGATCTACGGAGTCCCGGATGGTGAAGCTCCAGTAGTTCCGCTCCGAATCAAATTGGGGATTCCCGACACTTATCCACAAGGCGTGTTCTCCGAGGCCCCAATAGCCAGTCATGTAGATGTCCGCGATGTAGTCCATCTCTGGCGACACCGCCTCGCGGTTCTGGCACGTATCGTGGGCTGGAAGGTCAATCATGCCTGTCACCCACGTCGCCTGCCCGAAGTCCAATGTGCAGTCGTACGCGATGTGATATCCGAACGGCGCCTTCACCTCCAGAACTGTTGCTTCATCGATTGCCTCCGACAGCCCGATGATGAAAGTGACGACGTTCGCGGTCGCGAGGGCCTTGCGATCTTCGCTGGCAGGGTAAGGGTAATAACGCGTGTTGTCCATCCGGTCGGCCAGCTGATAACCATCGACTGTGAGGCTTTCCACAAACTGCCCATTGTAGCGCGTCTCGAGAGTGAAGCTGTTGTCGGTGGGGTCGATGAAGGGAGCGTTCACGATGTCGACTGTGAATGCGTACTTCACGCCGGCCTCGATGCCCGAATTGAAGCTCAGGCGCAGGATCTCCGATCTGCTCACTGGGTCGTACACTAGGTTGCACTCGACGTCGTCGGGGACCGACACGGCGCCTTCGGCCTCCAGGTAATGGGCCAGGGTCTCTTCCAGGGGGCAGATGTACGTGAACGACGGGGGGGCCACCACGAAGAGGTCCGCGGGGATGACCTGTGTGCTCGAGGCCAGCTGCAGCTCGCCGGCGGCCACGGCGGTGGCGGCCTCGAACACGAAGAAGGTGGGGTTGTTCCAACCCTCCTTATAAGACGAAGCCAAGACGAGGATCACTTCGCGTGAGAATAAAGCGAGAATCTCCGAGATCCGGCGGCTCTGGAAGAGGTATCGGGCGCCGCGGCCTTCTCAGAGCATTCGGGACCGTTGTTAGAGCGTTCCGGAACGCTCTGAACGGATTGATCCTCGCCCTAGCCCCGTCCGACCTTCACGACGCTGAACGGGGTAACGGCGACATTGATGAGCGCAGAAGTCGTAAATCCGTCGACGCCCATGGCGGCGATGTTGGACCATGTTGCCGTGGACACCGAGCCGGTTCCCCTGAACTGCTCGATCCACCATCGATTCGGGACCGGCGTGGCCTCGGGGACCTCGATTCGGCACCGGAACCCGTATTCAAGGTTGCCCAACGCGGCCGAGGTGAGCTGGAAAATCAGCTCGTTCGTATCGGCGAAGCCGATCACAGGAGTCCCAGTCCCGAGGTCTTGAGAGCCCGTGACGGCGGCGTTGGTGGCGAAGTCGAGGTCCTCCGTATACCAATTTACTCCAACGGGGGCACGCACTCGAATGAAATCGTCAGCGGGAATGGTTTGCGAGGACGTGAACTTGACAACTACGTACTGCGCGCCCGCATACCTGGACATTGGCTCGACCTTGTAAGATAAGAACTCGGCGGGGTACATATCGAAGCCCGCATAGCGGGCCGTGTCTCTCCCGAAGCCATCCGGGCGCACGGTCTCGAAGTTCCAATAATTAATGTTGTCTGGCACGACCACCTGGGGATTTGATACCTCTAGAGCGAAGACGTACTGTTCACCGGCCCTGATCACGTTGCTCTCCGTGAAGGTCAAAGAGAAAGAATTGGAGTCCGAGCCCGCGACGGTACAGTCCGGGATGTCGATGAGCTCGAAGTTCGACGGCGTTTTCTTGATCACGAAGCCCTCGGGTGCTACAACTTCCAGACGGGTCTCGACGTAGTCGCCGATATCTTGAGACGGGGTGAAGTCAAACTTGATGACGTTGCTTGCTCCCAGCATTTGGTTGGACGGGGCAAGCGCGGCGGCCATGGTCCCCGAGACAGGCATCCCGCGGATCTGCCGGGTGAGGGCCACCGGCTTCGTGTCGCCTTGCTGCCACAATTCCACCCGCCAAGCAAGCGCCGCTCCGGGCGAGGCTGGGTTCTGAACTTTGAACTGCACGCGGTACGGGGTGTCCGCGAAGGGGACCTCGTCCTCCAACTTGCAGACCCAACGGCCCGCCTCGCGGTCCGCCTCCGGCCAGTTGCGGCACGGTAGGGCGTTGTACCCAGGAACGTCGGCGGGCTCCTCGTTTGATAAAACTACGAAGGTCGTTGGTGGCACGAAGACCAGCATGCCACCCGTCGACGACTCGTCCCCGACCCTAACAGGCATCACCATGTTGCCTGGGTAGAGCTCAAGTGTGATCCACTGGATCTGGCTGACCGCGGCGAGCTCCCAACCGGTCACGTAGCCCGACAATGAACCGATGATGGCGACGGGCTTGTCCATGAAGACTGAGAAGGGCTCGACAGGCTCCAAGTTGTCGTACCTGAAAGACGTGGCCACCCAATAAGCGTTCACGGGCACAGACGGATTTTGGAGAAGCATACTGAAGGACACTGCAGTATCCGTGCCGAGGTTGAGGAAAGGCGTGGTCCCCACCGTGATCTGGAAGCCGTTCGACTCCGTCTCCAGGGCGCCAGGAAACGACCAATACTTGCAGGAAGATCCCACCAGCCCAGACTGCTGGTAGTTATCGCAATCCGAGTCCGGCTCCCCAAATCTCCAGACGTCGGTCGGGTACGCCACGACCTGTATCAGATGCGAGAGGGTCATCTCGCCGAAGGACCTCAGCCCGAACGAGAACTTCGTGTAGCTGCCCATGTACGGCGAGTACTCACTGTCGGGCTGCCACAGGAGAGCGGTGATGTAGCCTCGATCCCAGCGCCCTTCGTCATAGTCGTATATGCCGCCGTGGTGCGAGGCGTCCTTCGCGCTCTCGACTACATCAACCATGTCTACTGGCGCAATCGTGCCCTCGATCGTGTCTTTGCCTTGGAGCTTGATAACCATCTCGAAGTTGTTCTCCGACGCCGTCTTCCTCACCGCCGGCGACACCACCTTTATCGCGATCGAATACGTCTGCTGCTGCGTCAGCGGAGTCTGCAGGGTAAGGGTCGCCTCCTTGCCGACGAACAAGCAACTGCTGAGCCGCGGGAAACCCCCAGTGGCGTAGAGAACGGACTCGCAGTAGTCCGAATCGATGAAGGTAGACTCAGCTAAGGTGATCACGATCTGCATGCTCGCAGTCTCAGTTGTGTCATTGTACGCCGACAGCTCCGAGGTGGTGAACACGAATTTGATGGGCGCGATGCCGCAGGCCATGTTTGCCTGCACCAACTCGCTCGTGGCGTCCTGTGGGAAGCCCGCGACGCCTTCCGGCTCGATGATTGCGGGCGTCTGGTAGCTCTGCGTGCAGAAGTCACCAGAGGAGTCAACGATGAACTGCGCGCCGCCTACTGCCCCGAGGTTGATGTACGGAGGGACGTCGAAGAAAGGGTAGTCCACTGTTAATCGCCTCTGCGACGAGCAGGCGCCTGTCAGCGGACGCGGAAGGGCATGAAATCAACTTCTTCGACTTCGGGGACGAACGTCCCATGGCGGCTAGAAAATTTCTGTCCCTACGGGCCCACGGGTGGCACGTCAGGGTGTATACACGTTCCACCAGTCGCCCTAAGGCAGGCGTCCCCGACGGCAGAGCACATCATCTTCTCAGGCTGAGGGGGGCCGAAAGGTCGTCTACTGTCCTTGGGCGCTCGTCTGAAGCGGGTTTCGCGGGGCAATTTTTTCCTGCGTGATTGCGTTGCTGTTGTTTTTGTCGTTGTCCCACCCGCGATCCGCCCCGCGACACACACCGCGCCCATCCCCGCGACCCATCGCGCGACCCACCCACGACCCACGCTGCGACCCACCCGCAATCCATCCACGACCCACCCGCGACACACGCCGCGACCCACCCGCGACCCACACCGCGCCCGCCCCCTCACCCTTATCCGCAACTGCGGGGTGCCACATACCGTTATTCGTCCGCTTAGCCTGTGCCGCACCCCGAGGTCTCGAGTACGTCCGAGCCGTTGGCGACGGCTTGCTCCATGTAAATCGTCTCCCCGGTGAGCGCGTTGCTGCCCTTCAGCGCCCGTGCCATGGCGTGAGCGGCGCCCGGCCCGAAAGTGGAGGATGGCACTGCCCCGACCAGCCCAGCCAGGGCGGCCCTGGTGCGGGCCAGCTGAATATCCATATCCACTGCGTCTTGGACTTCCTGGGAAAGGGGCGCCAAAAAGCAAAGGCGCAGTGGATGTGGGGAAAAAATAAGCCCCTGGAGGCCAGATGTTTAGCCATATCAGGTGCGCCTGTGGTTTCTGGGGGAAATGGACCTGGACCTTCAAGACGCAGTGGATATGGATACAAATCTTGCCCGCACCTGGTGGGCAGCAGGCAGACCAGCCATCGCAACCACTGTGCGCGAGAGCGCCTCGGGGCGGCGCGCAGAAGGGGGTGGGGCGAGAGAGAGGGGGGGCGGCCTTCTGGGGAGGGACTGTCAGAAGCCATCATGCGTTCCATGAGGCATCCTTAGAAGCCTCCGATCCTCTCTGAAAGAAGCGCCTGCGTGAAAGCCACCCCCTCGCCCTCGCCCTCGACCAACACCCGCTCTGAAACTGCACCAGCAACCAATACGAGGGTCGGCCCCAAGAAATAGCTCATTGCACGGTGTATGTGAAAGCTATGTCGTGCAAAGTATGTGTGTGATACGTGCTGCAATATACGTGGTGTACGCTAGGCTGGGCCAACTATGTGGTGCAAGCTATGTGGTGCAGGCTATGTGCTGCAATCGTTGTGGTGCACGCAATGCAGTGCAAGCCACGTGGTCGAAACTGCGCGGTGCAGCCTATACGGTGGAACCTGTGAGGTGTTAGTCCAGAGCCCGCTTAGCGCACAAGGCGCACAAGGGGGCCCCACAGGCGGGCACCAGGCGAAACCTCGGACCTCCGTGCACCCACCCGGCGCACGAGGCGCACGCGAGCGGCCACGGGCGCCCACCCACCGGGCACCGAACCCGCGAGTGCAAGCACTTCTTGGGGAATGACCAGCACACGTCGATCGGAAGAAGTAGGTAAGAACATGAAGTAGGGAGGCGTCTACAGCAGACTGGGTTCGGGCCCTCCCAGAGAATAAAGAAACGCAGCTGAAACACATCGGTTCTTGACGTAGAAAGGCGCTCGGAAAGATTAGGATCTGAAAATTCCCAAATACATAATGTCAACCACCGGCGTTTATGATATGTGCACAAATATGTGTATATACGTACACACTAGCCTACAGGAGCCCCACCAAATGTGCCTCTATCCACATATACGTGATGCAGCCCCTGTGAAACAACGTATGTCGTGCAAACGATGTTGTGTAATCTATGTTGCGTATCAGATGCTCCGTAATATATACTGTGCAGTGCGAGTGTTGCGACCTATTAGGTGCACCATATGGGTGGGCCAACCTTTGTGGTACCATATGTGCGGTGCAATCGAACTTGTGCGGCATCTGGTGTAGAATCAATGTTGTGATCTCTATGTGGTGGAATCGTTGTGGTGCACCCTACGTGAACCAATCAATCTGGAGCAACCCATGTTGTGCACTAGATGTGCTGCAGCCAAAGCGGTGCATCTGCCTGGTGCAATGCACTATATGTGGTGTAATATAAATGATGAACTCAATTTGGGGCCATCTACGTGATGCAATCTAGGTTGTGCAACATCCGTTGTGCACGAAGTGTTTCGAGAAACATATGTCTTGATTGCATAATGTACAAAGTTTTAATAATTAAACAATGCTGTGCAATATGGGGCGCACTATATGTGATGCAACCGATGCGTTGCAGCCAATGTGGTGCAACCTACGTTGTGCACTCTGCGTGGTGCGCAACCTATGCGGTGCAATGGATTTCTGTTCGCAGTGGTGTGACCACTCCACTGATCGCGCAACCATCCCGACCAACCACCCGCAACCTGGGTCGCAAAACCCATGCGAGGGCGATCGTGATCAATCCTTAGCGTTGGCTGGTGCATTTCTGCGGCCGCGCTAGCCTTCGCATGCTCGCGCGCGAGCCGGCCAGATAGTTTGGCGCGACCGACGCGGTCGCGCTGGCGCAAACCGCTGGGTACTCCCCAGCGGGCAGTACAGTGCGAGTTGGCGACTTGGGCGGGCGCGGTTGTTTGGCAACGTCGACAACGGTAAACTCGATGATGGTGATAGCGATGCTAGTGACGATGATGACAACGACAACGGCAAGGTCAGTGACGGCGCCGATGATGATCACGCCGGCGACGATGGTGTCCTCGCGTCGGTGATGAAGATTTTGGAAAGAGATCGGCATGCGCGCTCGGCATGCGCGCGAGAGTGGCCAGCAAGGGCATTCGAATGATTTCGACATGCGGCGCGAGAGGCCCGTTTGGCTGAATGTAATGAACAGATTGGAAAGCCGATGGTCTTCTTAAGAATTCGCAGGAGCCCCAGCGCAGGCATTCTTGAAAACTGGTGTTGCATATCGATTTGCAACCCCTGCGAAACCTAACGTTTCCGAAGGGATCCTGCATGTGGGCGCGACGATGCGCGTGTGTGTGCACTTCATCCCGTGTTTTGCGCTGGATTATTGCGACAGCACGCGCGCAAGGGACTTTGAAAGATTTCGTTACGCGCGCGAGGGAGGCGCGATTGGTAACCATTGATGAACATGTTGAACAACCGATGGTCTTCTGAAACATCCGCAACAGCGCGAGCGCAGATTATCATCATGCATTTATTGTTGCGAAGCCATGTGTTTCTCTTAAATGTTGTCTGGGCAATCGATTTTGAAATCCTTACGCAACCCAAGGTCTTTGAAGGATTTCGGCATGCGCGCGCGACAACGCGCGCGTGGTCACTTCGTCCCATTTGACGCGAGGGATTCTTGGAAACTGATGATGTGTGATAAACGTGCGCGCGCGCATAGTATTGGTTGCAGAAGATGAAGGGGGTAACGACATCGGCCTGCCCCAGTCGGTACTACGTCATATCTAGGATGGACGATGGGGCACAATCGTATGTAACTTGCTACATGCGAAAAGGTTCTGTTGAATACGGGGCGAGAGGGGCAAGATCTCTCTTCAACGAGGAATCTCTGTGTTGCGCAATATACGTTGTGCAATATATGTTGTGCTATCTATGTGGGGCGGCGACGGCGGCCACATAGCCACCAGACCGAAGACACGGCCAAGACGACGAAGGCGACAAGACGGCGACTTGGCGGCGACGGCGGCCACATAGCCGCCAAACCGAAGGCACGGCCCAGTTCCTTAGAACAGAAGAAAGACACACTAAGTGCAAGCATGTGTTGGGGAACAGTTCGATTAGCTCTATATCTACATACATACACACAAACTTGTACCACATGTGTGCACACACGCGTGTATATGTATACATACATATGTATATACTTATACTATATATATATATGTATGAGTGAGGGGCCGAAAGGTCATTCATTGTCACTGGGTGCGTGGCTGAAGTGGGGATCCGTGGTGAAGATTATGTTGGTTGCGTTGTTGTCGTTGTTGGTGGTCGTCGTCCCACCCGCGACCCAGCCGCGACCCACCCCGCGACCCACCCCGCGACCCACCCTGCGACCCACCCAGCGACCCACTTGCGACCCACTTGCGACCCACCAACGGCACACCCCGCGAGCCATCCGAGACCCACCCGCGACCCACCGGCGACCCAACATCAACCCACCCGCGACCCAGCTGCGACCCACCCGCGACCCATCCGCGACCCAACCGCGACCCACCCGCGACAAACTTGCGACCCGACCGCGACCCAAGCCGCGACCCATCCGCGACCCACCCGCGACCCACCTGCGACCCAACAGCGACGCACCCGCGACCCAGCCGCGACCTGCCCACATTGGTTTAATGAAAATATCGGCGCCTGCAGCAGGCTTCTCCAGTCTCGCAGACTGCCGACGTCCCCACCGCCCCGTCATTTTTACCCGCGTCTGCGGGAGCTGCGTATATGCACATCTATATATATATATATATTGTGTATAAATATATACACATATGTGTATATATATATATATACAAATGTAGGTGTGTATATATATGTTTAAATAGATGGACAGAACACGGTACACGTATACATGTATATCAACATGCATATCTTCACTCGTATGTCGATATGAAAAGTATATCAGTATCTGTCGCCGCACCGTTTGTTCCGAAAGCGCCAAGGTAGACGAGGCTGGTACCGCGGCAAATCCACTGTCCATTCTGCGTCCGAGGCGGACGTTGTCCTGGTGGCCAAGGCGCCGCCCCCCAAGACGTAACGCCACGCGTCGTAATAGTTATGGCCTTTATGTGTATATGTGCATGTGTATGTGTATATATATACATACATACATACATACATACATACATACATACATACATACATACACACATATAATATGCGTAAACAACAAACAAACACGCCTTTGACAAACAAACCACCCCTTCCGTGCGCTGCCGAGCCTCGGCGCCCGACGCCAAGCGCTCGCAGCCTGGACTGCTCTGCCAGGCCGTGCGCTCAGACGCGGCCGCCCCGCGCGCGCCTCGGCGGCGCCGGCCATGGCCGCGACTGCCAGCGGCGGCAGGGCTCGTGGGGGGGCGGGGCCACACGGCAGGGCCGCCTCCGGAGCCATCGGCTGGCTGCGCGCTCCACAAGATCGAGGCTGAGCGTTGGTCACCCGCCAGTCGGAAGGGGCAAATGAAAACATGAAGGCGGAGAACGTAGATTGGGTTCCGGCCCGCAGGTAGAATATAACTACCCTGCGACGTACCCAACCCATCGGCACCAAAGGATGAGATAAGGTGTGCCGACAAAAATGCGGCAGCAATGCTGCAAGAGACGGCGCACGGCGGATAAATTTGTCGTGCGAAATGTGCAAGGCCGACTCGCAGAACAGAGGTACAAAAAGCCAGCAGGGATTTTACTGCGAAGGAGAAGCGAAAGGAATACATCGGGGTGGAAGAACAATCACCTCGCAGCCCTCGAATGTGGCGATAATTTCACACTTCGCAGTGCCATCCAGGGATGGCAAGGTCCTGCTCGGATCTGCGTTGGGCCCCACTGTGCTGT